TCCTGCTGACAGGACAGTTAGTGAATTCTCACAGACCTTTGCCATCTGTATTCTGAGCACAGATATATAGAGGTTGTGATTTTGTCTTCTTGCAATTAGTGTCTGCAGGTAGGCAAACTGGAGTAGGCATGTGATGTCGTGATCATCAATTCCTGAATTGGACCACAACAGCAACATTTATTTTCATTAATTCAATAAGCAACAGTTATTTCAAGCTAAACATAGAGTTGTTAGCAGGCTTGCAACGAAAGCAAACAAACAAAAACCCCTGACAACCAACCACAAATTGGTTGCCTTTTAAGTATTTTGAATATTTTAAGTGTTGCCTGACCACTAAGTGAAAGTTATTCTTTTTCAGTACTAATGAATCCTAAAAGTCTAGTAAATGTTGTTGGCTGCTACAGGTAGAGCAATTTGCTTTGGGGAATTTAAAAATAAAACTTTTGTTTCTAATCATCAGGTGCGAGAATTCTATACCAAAGTGCTGAAGGAGGATGAACGCCAAAGGCTGTGTAAAAATATAGCTGATCATCTTAAAGATGCCCAACTCTTCATTCAGAAGAGAGCTGTAAGTGGCCTGTTTGGGTTTTAGCCTTTGCTCTTTATTCCAGGTTTTCTTGTAGTCTAGTAACTTTTTTGAAATGGCAATATGCTTATGGAAAGGAAGATCAGAAATTCTTCTTTGAGAAGGCAACTTCTAGATTTTTCTTATGCAGGAATTATCAATACAGAACTCTTAAATATGTGCATATTTACATAATGTAACAGAAATAACGTGTAACAAGTTGAAGTAATTTTTTCCTGATGGGAAGAATGGGATTGATGTTGACCATCAAGTATGTGGTTATGTGTTTAGCTTGCTGTTTCAAAAATCAGGTGACTGCCAGTGTAAACAAGGAAAAGGTGGTAAGGGCCAGGTGGGGGTTGGAACTTGATCCTTCCCAGTGGAACTTTGTTTAAATTGGGAAAGAGCTGTATATGAGGTAACAGAAATAGTGTTTGAAGATGTTCATAGCTCCTTTCTGGCTGGTCAGAATTAAACTTTTTGAAAAGAGTTTTCATTCTCCTTTTCTTCCTAATGATATGTACTGCTTGTAGACCACAGAGCAGAAAATATGTTAAAGAATACATTTGAATTGGAGGAAAAAATATTTATTGGCTTTTCTGTTCTGCCTGTCTTGTTAGGTGAAAAACTTCACTGATGTTCATCCTGACTATGGTGCCCGTATTCAGGTTTTGCTGGACAAATACAATGCTGAAAGTGGGAAAAAGGTATGCACATGATTTTTGTAGTTGAATTTTGACTGGCTGGGAATTATCTTAGCTTCTCTTGCAGAAGCGAGAAATTGGTCTTGATTCCCATTTGGTTTAAAGGGGAGAAGTCAGTGCATGTAGAATTACGGAATGGGAAACATCACTAATTATATTTAATTAAATGTTGATTAACCAGTGATGTACAATGACTTTGCATGATATGCAGTGTGTTCAGGTTGATTCTTCAGATCAAATGATTACCCGCTGTTTGTAATGGTAATGAAACACTGCCACAAGCCTTTCCTGAGCTCAGTGCTTGCTACATAGAGTAACAAAACTGTTGCTTTAAGTACTTTCTTTTTTTCCCCTGAAGTCCCCCTAACTACTTATACTGGAACTTGCTCTGAATATTTCTCCTGTATTACTTTCAGGATGTAATTAGGACGTATACACAGTCCACATCTCGTGTGTCTGCCAAAGAAAGATCCAACTTGTAAAGCGTGCTGCAGAGGTTTACTCTATGAATTTTCCGTCCTTATAACTGCAGGACAACTTGTTGAAGATGTTAATGAATGTAGCAGACTTCTGCACAAATATACAAGTGTTCTACAGGCTTGGTTTAGTAAGATTTCAAGTGCCTGTATCTGTATTGGAAGCTAGGTAACACAAGCTAACAATCCTAGTGCCTTTCAATACTAGTGCTTTCCTGCTTGTTAACAACATATGGTGTTTTTAAGGAAATACATGATTAAAAATTGTCTTCATTTCTAGAAGCAAACAGAAGCTTAAAATACCATTTGATTTTTTTTATTGTAAAACTTTCCTGGCTAAATCACACACTAGAACTTCTATAATGATACTGTGATTATCCTTATGGATAAACTTGTTCACGTTAGAAATACTGAGCAACATCATCTTTTTAATAAAATAGTTATCTGTATGTATTTATAAACACTTCCTTTTGAATTTCACTTTTGGCCTTCCAGAAGTAAAATGATATGCACTAGTTAGGGTATAATGTTGGTTGTGTCTCATTCCTTATGATCGAAATGAACTAGAAAGTTTAATCTGAATACAAGTAAATCTTATTCCCGATATATATTTTAAGATAATCTGTGCTTAATAATGCTAGGTTGGATATAACTGGCCTAAGGGAGATTGGAAAGAATATTTTCATATTATATACACTTTACAACTCAATTGATGACATTTTACACTACTTCGGGGGGGGGAATTGTTGTTTTATAATCTGTAAGGAGATAAATAGAAAAATATGAATTTTCAAAGTGTCTGAGAAATTTACCTCCAAATGTGTGAATATTTCTATCTTCACCAAATTCAAGCTCAAGAACTTTCAAAATTATTCCCAGTGGCTCCTGAAATGTGTGTTATTTTACTGCCATAATCTGATATTGCTAGCTATTGATCAAGCCAGAGCTAGTTTTCAGAGTTACGCTTCAATTATAGTAGGATGTTTGTGTGATTGTTGGTATCTATAGCTAGATATATGTATAAAACCTGATTTTAGGCATGTTGTAATGCTGCCTCATATTTGCAATTTAGTTAATCAGTGCAAAAGATTTTTTTTTGAACCCTTTGGATTGAAAAGTGTTCCCTATTATTATTCCTTAGGTCCGAAGGAGTTTCTTTAGCTTAGTAACACTTTATTGCCCTCAGTCTTGGAGTATAATCTTTAATCAGGTCTTACTAATTGGCACATAATGGAAGTGTTTATATTTGAGAACTTAGAGCAATAGTTAAATGATAATTAGGGAATTTCTGGACTTACCTTGGTTAAATATGAGTAGTGGTTACCTAAGAAGGCACATTGTCAGCATCTGAATGCCTTGCTATGCAAGCACACAACAAAACCAAGGAGTTCTCAATAAAAATCGGTCATATCTGTTACGTGTTGAAGTTTAGTCCTGACAGACCAAAGGAGTTTCAAAAGTGTGCTGAGTAGGATCAGGCAATTCATCTTGACAAGGTTTAATAACTACTCTGCCTGTTACTTCTTCCTCTTCCCTTGCCAAAGAGAAAGATCAGTGTATAAGTGTAATTAGTCCAGATCCTAGTTGTGCAGCATTACCCCTCGTTGGAAATACTTGCTTTCCTGTGGATCCTGCCTCATTAGCATTGGGATTGGAAAAAAGCATGAATGATGGTACAGAGGATTTCAGAATTAAACAAATTTCAAATAGTAGCAGGGGGTTTTTTAATATTTGGTGCATTTGTGGGTTTGTCTTGAATTGTATTTTGGAGTATTGCCTGATTTGGCATTGAAGTGTGAATTGTCATTCCAAGAAGTGGTGGCAGATAAAGAAGAGTAGATACTAAGTGTTGTTCCATTAAATTGTAGAAAGCTACTTCAGCTCATTTATCTACTAACCTGTTGTGAAAAATTAGCTGTGATACAGGTGCAGTAAAGTAACATGAACTGATAGCCTACTCTATTCTGGTATCTAACTGGATTTTTAGCTGGTCAGGCAGGTGGGAGCTGAAAGAGCTACATGAATGGGTGGAAATATTTCTTGCTGGTACATAGAATCCTAATGAGCTCTGGAAAAGAATACGTAAGGCTTAATCTTTAATTTTGATGGTGTCTGCTAAATGAATTGTATTGTCTTCCTCTTTTATTTCTGAAATAAAACTGAATTTAAAAATCTCTTGGCAACATGTCTGTTGTGTGACTTGTCAAATAATTTATTTTAATCTAGGGAGTTCATACCTTCATCTGTTTTTGAGATGGTGCAGAAGCTGTTGAAGTTCTGGGTAATTGGTACCTATTTCAAGACTTGGGGCCTGTGCAGGCCAAATAACTGACTGCCAACAAAAGCCTTGGACTCGAGACTGGTGCTTGGAATTCACGTGTAGGCGCCAAGCACCATTTAGCCTTTCAAAAAGCTGTCAATATGGAGACTTACTCTACCATCTATACTACCCAAATGTTCAGTTTTGCTTTTCTTTTTGCAGTTGCTTTGTTCCTAAATACCTGCTTTGTATTTCACAGCTGGGGATCTGTGCCTCATGCCTCACTGTACATTGGTAGGGTAACCTTTACAAAGGTTTTGGGTTTTTTAACCTACTGACTATGTGGTGGAAAGAGCACTGTGACGTGAACTTGTGGTGGTTTTAGTAGCATGTTTAACATGGACAGTTATTTTATTAACTTTGTCCAGTTAGCCTTTATCTGACCATACCCATAAACAATTATCACTAATAAATTCTACTGTAATTTATACTATTAGAGGTTAGGCTAAAACTTGGATGCTGTTAAGTCATAAAAGAAAATCAAGCACTAGGTAATGAGGAAGAGAGATGGAACATCTTGTGCCGTAATGTTGAGAAGACATAGAATGGGCTAGGTGGGTAGTATGTACCTTCTGCAGCTACCTTTGTTTTGAAAACTCACAATTTCAGTGTAGTTGTACTTAAAAGACTGACCTATGTTCTGTGCTGCTAAACTGACCATGACAAGTATTAAACAGTAAAACTCGGCTTTTTCAAAATGTACGGAAAGGTTAAGGCAACACTGGAAGAACAATAATGCTATTTCTTTGAATAAATAAGACGGTAAATCCATTTACGGCTACTTACTGTGAGAATAAAAAGACTATTTACGTGACATGACACAATCTCATTTGTGTTTTTACTTTGTGTTCTGTTCAAGTAAAATCAAATACTCCTTTGACAGGTTGTTGCAATACAATTTTCAGTTATGTGTAAAGAAGAATTGCTCAATGTTTTGCTATTACTGTTTTATTTTAGATGCACATCTGTAACAGTGGAACTGGGAATGAAGTTGAAACTTAAGTTTTGGAAATTACAGCTTCTCCCAGAGTACCTCTCCTTCTCATGGGCCCTTCCCCTTTATTCCTAGGTTGTTTTCCCTTTTCCAAAATGTTTGTACTTGAGTAGCCAAAAAACATGAACAGATACTAGAGTCTCGGTGGACATTTGTTGAAGTGGGCTGTGGCAGGAGATGAGAGTGTGTATAGAATTGCTAAATCTCCTCCAGGGAAAAGGGCGAGGTAGGTTTGGATCAGATAGTTACTGCTTTAAGTATGTTGGAAAAAATAAGCCCTGAATTCCTTTCTTGAACCCAGCTAGCTCGTTGCCTGGTGAAAGCCATTGATGGAAATTGTCTACTAACTTGTGTGTATGTACCTATGACGTTAGTGTCCATTAAATCAATTGCGTTGATTTGCCAAATAACGTGGTATACCTGTTGCTCATCTTGGAGGAAAAGGCTGTTTGTGCTCCTTTTGGAGCTCTGATACCTGAATTAGAGAAGCAGGTGAGCCACCATTTTCTCACAAAATTATAGTAAACAAGAGTCTTTTTTTGCCTAAGACCACCGGAGGTGGTGGT